ACCAGAAAAGGGTCCTGTGCACTATCTCCCCAACAGTTTCAGCATCCCACCCACCCCCAGCGCGTGCACACCCACACCAGTACCTAGCTTTTTGCTTCACTTTTATTATCCAGCCCTTTGAAAAAGAGCTCACAGAAAAACTGGGGTTTTTTAAAAAAAGATGGGGGGTGGGCGCTTTGTGCCAGTATGAAAAACAGTTGAGGAATCGTAGGTGTACATTCTAGTTACCGTGCAGTCGTTGCCAGCCTTGGCATCTTGGGTGACTCATTCACTCTTTCTGAGCCTCAGCTCCCGCATTCATAAAACGGGTACATTAATTTTGTTAATTTGCATTATGCTAAGTACTGGGTCGAGTATGCCTTTCAATGACACATGGTCCTGACTTTTGAGGAGATCGTTCTGGGAGCATGAGGCAGGGATGACACAGCCAACAAACGGACAAGACATAGTGAATGGTATAAGTGCCTCTTCTCCATTTTCCTTGTGCCTCTCTGCTTTAAACACCTTGACCTTCTATTTCTCAAAGAATATTTTGTTCCCTTCTGCCTCTTATTGTCCCTAGGTCTGAACATACGTCCTTCATCTGGTGCTAACTCCTACTTCACTCTCAACTCAAGCAACTAATCGTTGTGGGAGGCTCTCTAGCCCCCAGGATGGGTCGGCATCCTATAAGGTAAACTCTAGTGGCACTTTGTAACAAACTTGACTTTGATTACCTGATAATGTCTGTTTCCTTTCCCCATGTGATCTTCATGACAGGAACTATTTCTGCTTTTATCCAGCATGGTTTCCCCCCAGGGCATAACACATGATTGGTATATAGTAGGTTATGCTTAGAAAATGCTTTTGAATGAAAGAATGAGTCACTGAATGCAGATGCTACTGCGGGAGCCCAGAGGAGGGAACCCTGGGAGATGGAGAAGTCTTCATAGAGGAGGGAATATTTGAGCTGAAACTTGAAGGATGAACCAGTGTCTTTAGACAAGAAAGATCATATGTACATTCAGACATATCAAAATGTGACAAGTGAAAGGGCTTTGAGATGACACTAGTTTGTTCTGTGTGGGCTGAGCATTGGCTGTGTTTAGCAATCCCTGCAGACGAGGCTGAAAGGTTGATTGGAACCAGCTTTTGAGTGTTTTTACATACCATATTATAAAGTGTATCATATAATCACGGAGGCAATGAGCACCATTCTGGTCTTAAAAAACAAAAGCAAAGAAATGGCATTACCAGAACTGCATTTTAGGATAATAACTTTGACAGTAAGTGAGTGATGGATTAGATGATAGAGATACTGGAAGTATAGAGATCTGTTAGAGGCTGTAGGGCAGACTAAAATAAATAAGTAAGAAGAGCCTCAACTGAGGTAATGGCTGTGGGATGGAAGAGAGGGCAAGCTGAATAGACAAGGCTTGGTTAGTGAATTGAACATTTTGTTGTAAACCCAACTGTCCAAATTATTAAGTCTATTTACATCGTGAATATAGTGTTTAGGCCACACTTTATCCTGAAACAAGAATTTGCGTGCCAGTGGTTTATTTTGGAGATAGTCCCAGGAAGCTTCCATCAGGAAGTAGGAAAATGAGACAAGAAAGTGACAGAAGCCAGTGCAGGGTACACTAATGAGCAGGTTCCTGCTGGGACAAATAGGGCTCAAACCAACAGGAGCCCCTTGAGAGGCAGTGTGGAACAAACCTCAGAACTGTCCTGCTCAAGGAGTGAGGAAATGGATATTTAACACTTAATTTTCTGCTAGAAAGTAGACCTTTTGGCTAAGGTCTTTCCTAGAAGTGTTAACTCCCTGGCACTTCCTTTCTGTCTGGTGCCTGGTCTGAGAGAATCTCTAGGCAGAGAACTTTGGATCCTCTCAGTAGGAAGCCATTGTTTATACAGATAATGGTCAGTTCCAAGGGGATATGGATTCAGCAGTGATAACATCTGACATATGGTATTGTTTTGGAAATGTCTACAATCCTAGACACTCTAGGTATATTTTGTAATTTGTTTCTCAGAATAACCTTATTAGGTAAACATAATTATTCCCACTTCTCAGAAGAGGAAAAGTGATCTGTAGTTCAAGAGTAAAAGGTGAGTGTGGTTGTCCCCAATGATCCTAGCAAAACAATCAAGGGTGAGATGAATTAAGCCACATGCTAAAGGCAACACAAATTCCAGTCCTCTGCAAACTCCACACTTTTCCAGAACATCATGTCATCCCTCATCCCAAATCACGGAGCCTCTGCTATTAGGACAAATGCCTCACCAAGATCCCTCGCCTTAGTTCTGAAGGTTTTCCTTTAGAATCAGTAAAGTAAATCTACTTTGTAGTCAGTACACAGTACATTTAAGAAAAAGTGTTTGCCCTATAGTGTGTTAAAGGGAATAGAATCACATCCTCCAAGGGAATCTTCCAGTTGTTTACAAACCCAAGATTATAATTGGTATGTAGCTGATTGTCACAACAACTGAAAGGAAACATGCCACAGTCTGTGCTGCTTGGGGAGGAATACTTTCTTTGAGTCCTATATGCCACTACTTTTTAAGTATTCCCAAATCTTTTTAAGTATTCCTAGTGGAATGTCGCAAGAGTTGTATTGCAAGTCATCTCTCCAAATAAACAGAATAAATATATTTTCAATTTATAAAATTGATTCCTTGGGCATTCAGTTCAGAGCTTCAGCTGTGAAATATCTTAAATTGGAGGGCAATTTCAAACAGCAGCCGCTTCTGGTGAAACACAGTATTACAGCTCAGCTCAACTTGTATATGAGCAGGGAAATTGATATGTATGTGCCTGTGAGAGGAATATAGAGGGTCAAATTCAGGAACCCCTCTAAGTACTGGCCATCTGAAGGGAGTGTCACCCAACAGAGGTATTTGAGTAAGAATATATGGTAAACAATCTTAGTCCATTTTAGGAATGGGTTTTCAATAACTTGGAATGTTTCAGTAATTTTCTTTACAGAGATATATGTTAACTGGGGCAAACAGTCAATGTCTTCAACTATATTCTTTAATTTTTCTATTGCATTTTATTCAATATAATTAGAATAATTTATTATACATATATTATATTATTTAATCTATAAAATAATTCTGTCCATAGGTACTATTATCCCTATTTTACACAGAAGAAAATATAATGAAAAATGAATAACTTTTCCAAGGTCACCTACTTAGTCAGGGGCAGAGTTAGGATTTGAAGTTGGAGCCATTTGACTCTAAAATGTGGATCTTTTAATCACTATGCTATAATGTCTGTGGTTTTATGTGCTGCTATATCTTTCAGAAATGCCATAGAATAGGTCAAGAGGAAGGAGACAAATTTAGAAGGTCAATAATGAAGTGAGGTAGCAGATTCTGGCAATGAAATATCTTAGTAAGATCCAGGGGGCTCATGTTAAAGGATGTGTGCATAATTTCTTATAGTTTGTGTTGATGCAATTTAAAAGATAATGGAGCATGAATGCCATGAGCACAGCATTATCTTCAGAGAAGTATTAGATAGGTGTGCAGCCCGTCCTGAACATGGTAGAGTAAACTGCCTATTTATATCTCATAGGATCATTTATAGGCGGTAAACTCTAGATGTGTCAGAAGGGAAAAACTATGAACCAATATTTATACAGCATCTTTTGAGTGCTGACTTTGTGCTATTGCTAAGTACTAGAGATAGAATGGTGAATAAGACAAACACATTCTCAGTCCTAATGGAGCTAATATTCTAACTGAGACCTATTTTGATTTAGGTTGGATTCCTCAGAAGCAAATATTTCTTAATTCAAACATCTGAGTGCACATGGTTTATTTGAGTGGTGATTCCAGAAAATAGGAGTCTGTGGAAATGAGACAAGAAAGAGAAAGGAGTCAGTACAAGGTGTGTTATTTAGCAGGTCATCACTTTATTAACTCAGATCGAACCTGCCGGGTAACAATAGATGACTCTGGTGTGGAACATACCTCAGTGGTATCCCAATCAAGAGGCAAGGTAAATGGAATGAATATCCACCAACCCCTGTCAGTTCTTAGTTGAGGGCTATTTCTGGAGGGTGCTAACATCTGCTTCTTCTGGCCTGCCCTGTACATGGGCTGTTTGGGGACTGGCACCTAGACCAAGTTATCTTGAAAGAGTTTCAGGTATTTCAGATGAAAGTCATTGGATCATTGTGTGAGGCAATGATGAGTTCCAAAAAGGAATAACAGCATTAACAGTTTGTGCTACAGATATTAAACAAAAAAAAATTACATAAGTAATTAATTGTTTACTGGTATGATAAGTGCTGCTG